CCCATGAATGAGATGAAAGCCCACCAACAAAACCTCAAGTGAGTAAAAACAATTATTTACAAGACCCAACAAAGATGAGCCTCTGATGAAGCCTACGAACGCTCAAACGACCGCTCAAACGAACCGAAACCAATAAGACACACAACGAATCGTACGCCAACGACCTTTAGAGCCTCTAACTTTTCCGACTTTCCCACAGGACGACGGTGAAATTGAGCCTCAAAGATGCGCTGACGGGCTGCGTGGTAGACGTGCCGACGTTGTCGGGCGAACGCTACCGCCTCGATCACCGGCAGGCGGTGATATCGCCGGAGACAGTCTCCAAATTGACCGGTGAGGGTCTACCGTATCCGAAGGAGGCGTCGCGACGCGGCGATCTGCTGGTGCGCTACGACGTCCGATTTCCGGCGTCGTTGCCGGCGAAGGTCAAGAGGGCGCTGGCCGATTTGTTGCCGTCGTAGGGAGGGGAGGCGATTAGAGATAAGTTGGATATATTCAGACGATATATTCAATAAATTAAATTAGAAATTTTTGTGAGTTTTATTATTATCTGTTGTACGGGTAAGGGGTTAGGAGGAGAGAGGAGAGAGGAGAGAGGAGAGAGGAGAGAGGAGAGAGGAGAGAGGAGAGAGGAGAGAGGAGAGAGGAGAGAGGAGAGAGGAGAGAGGAGAGAGGAGAGAGGAGAGAGGAGAGAGGAGAGAGGAGAGAGGAGAGAGGAGAGAGGAGAGAGGAGAGAGGAGAGAGGAGAGAGGAGAGAGGAGGCGTTCTAAATGATTATGGAGCGTTCTTAATAGTTCTAGACAGTTCTAAATGATTTACGAGGGTTCTAAATAGTCCTGTAGCAATCTAAACGGTTTTAGAGAGTTGTAAATAATTTTGAAGCGTTCTAGATGGTTTTAGACAATTCTGAATGATTCTGGATCATTTTTAAAAGTTCTAGATAGTTCTAAATGATTTAGGAGGGTTCTAAATGACTATGAAACGTTCTAAATGGTCCTGTAGCAATTTAAATGGTTTTAGACAATTCTAAATGATTCTGGAACGTTTTTTGTTAAAAACGTTCCAGAACTGTTGTTCTAGACAGATCTAAATGATTTAGGATGGTTCAAAATAGTCCTGTAGCAATCTAAATGGTTTTAGAGAGTTGTAAATAATTTTGGAGCGTTCTAAATGGTTTTAGACAATTCTAAATGATTCTGGAGTGTTTTTAGCAGTTCTAGACAGTTCTAAATGATTTAGGAGGGTTCTAAATGAATATGAAACGTTCTAAATGGTCCTGTAGCAATCTAAATGGTTTTAGACAATTCTAAATGATTCTGGAACGTTTTTCATGGTTATGGACAATACTAAATGACTATGAAGGGTTCTAAAGGGTAAACGGAAGGGAAGGAATAATCAATTTTTCACGCGTACCTGCGAATAACAGTAGTTTGGCACATTTGTTTCGACCTTGCAGGGCGGCCTTCATCAGAGGGGTCAGTCCCAGATTGTTTCGGGCGTCGATTTCCAGTCCCCTGCATCTTGTCAACATGCAATTTAGGCATTCCAATTGACCTGGAATCAAATTTGACGAACCGATTATTATTATAGTAGCGAGAGGAGAGGAGAGGAGAGCTAAATGGTTCTGAATGGTTTTAAGACAATTTTAAATGAATCTGGAGCGTTCTTAATAGTTCTAGACATTTCTAAATGATTTAGGAGAATTCTTAAAGATTTAGGAGGTTTTTAAATAGTCTTGTAGCAATCTACGTCATTGTCTAACCAGATGGAATACGGTTTAGTACAAAGTCCCCCAAAATGCTTTTTGATCGGTTTTCCATTACATATTTCAACGAAATAATCCCATTGACCTATATAAAAAACTACAACCTTTATAAATATACTAAATAATACAAAAAAAATGCTGTTAAAAATAAAACACACTAAGAACATAAACAATAAACATCAAACGGAAACAAGAAATAAAATAGGGTTAAGATTGAAGATGTTCTTATAATTTTTTTTTAGAAAAGCAAAACTTCCTAAGGCAAACTTCCTAAGCAAAACTTCCTAAGCAAAACTTCCTAAGCAAAACTTCCACCCCTAGAATTTAGTGGCACAAGAGAACACCCTGTATAAGATAGTGTAGAATGATTATATTACCGGCTTGTGCTGCGAAATGGAGCGGAGTGTTCCCTTCGTTATCCGGCTTGTTGAAGTCCAGACCGGGCAAATGTAATATTTGTTCTAATACGTCTATCGATCCGTTCGATGCGATGTAGCTGAATATCGTCTGAAATAGTAAAACGATTTTTTTTTGTTATTTTTGTTATTTTTGCGCAAATTTTGCGTTGTAAATTGTAAAGATTAAATACTGACTGAATAGGTGCAATTTTGGCATGAAGGGTTTTGATATGCACGAAGGGTACGACAAACTGCACCAGTTCGGTGGGTTTATAATCCTATAAGAAATACACGACATTTTCAAAATCTAATCGAAAAATATCGCTTATGTTGTTAGAAAAGCTGTTGGAATGTTTACAAGCAGAATTGAAGCTTAGTTCAAGCTTCGAGTTGAGTTGCATCCGAGTTGAAAGTTAATAAAATCACCAGATTTAGTGACTTTTTCAAAATCTAGTAATATAACCAGATTTTAGTTTTTCGTGTTGCAAAAAGTTTTCATCGGCTGTCACTTCAACTGTACTCGAACTCGATCTCGATTCAATCATTCAATCCTGCATACAGAAAAACACCTCAAACTCAACCCAATCTCGAAGAAAGAAGAATAAAATCTCCAGATTTAGTGAATTTTTCAAAATCTAGTAATTTCCCCAAAATCCAGTAATATCATCAGATTTAGTGACTTTTTCAAAATCTAGTCATTTTACCAGATTTTAATAAATCACCATATTTAGTGACTTTTTCAAAATCTAGTAATTTCCCCAAGAACTCTACGTTCCTCACAATCGAACAACTTTATTCTCCATCGAATTGCTTATCGAAATTGAAGCTAAAAAATCCAGCCGATTATTTTAGTCGAGGCCTCGGACTATTCGTGTTTTCAGCCAGAACAAACGGTAAAAGGGCCCTTCCAAAGCACACTTCGACTCGGCCGTAATAAATATCATTAGTGAGAGCGTATCGCGCTCGTCGGAATATAAATTGATCCATATAAACCGCTGGTATCCAGACAATAATGAAACTGGGGCATGTATTATAGGCACGTCTTGAATAGTCTTCCTCCTTTATACATTTCGCCCACAATGAATTTCGCTATTTTAGTAACTAAATTTCGTTCTAAATGTTGGAAGTAATATTTCTAGATTTTGGTGAAATTACTAGAATTTTGGGATATTGCTAGATTTTAGGGAAACTACTAAAGTCACTAAATCTGGTGAATTTTATTAAAACTTGGTAATTTTACTAGATTTCGAAAAAGTTACTAAATCTGGTGATTTTGCTAAAATCTGGTAATATTTAGTATTTGAAAAAGCCACTAAATCAGGCGATTTTACTAAAACTTGGTAATATTACTAGATTTTAAAAAAAGTCACTAAATCTGGTGGTTTTACTAGATTTTATTTTACTAAAATCAAACACCCTGTATACGTAATACAATTTAAACGGCGCATTATCGGACTTAAACACTTACCTAATATATTTTTAAAATTAACTTTCGATCTAAAAATAGATACAAAAATCGTATTGAAAACAAATCGAATGGATTTTTCGGACGTTTCACAGGTTGCCCTAAAGTTGTATATACATGCGTAATTTATATACAAATTTAACAGGCTAAAAATACATCATTCGAATTGCGAATTATTTTCGAATAATACAGGGTGTTGGTAAATATCGTGTACATTCGAAAAGGGGGTGATTCATTGGGTTATTTTATGGCTAAAAGTTTATATGAAGGTGGGTAAGCAAACGCTTCGTTAACGATCTACAGGGTGTTGAAATTTCAAGATTTTTTTTTGTTTTTATTTTAGAGCCCTGTAGTTTTTGAGATAATTAGCTCAAATTTGTTATAGGATATAGGGTATAATTTGAGTAGGAGGGAGTCACTTTCAACATTTATTATAATGTAATTTAATAATTATTATTTAGGGTTTTTGTTTTGTAAAATAAATTTGTAGAAGAAAATCGTTTTTAATTTTTTTCTCGACAACGGTCACAGACACGAAAAAAGTTTAACAATAAAAAAAGTTTGAAAACAAAACGGACAATACATTTTGTATTTTAGAATCAACCAGTGGCGTGCAGCAAAAAAAAGTTAGGGGGGAAAAAGGGTACATGACTCCTGAAAAAATATCACCCTGTAGAATTCAACAACCATCTGACATACCCGATAATGTGTACCCTATATAGCGATCTAGATTCAAAATTTGAGCTAAATATCTCAAAAAGTGCAGGAGCTACAAAGAAAAAACAAAAATATAATTGAAATTTCATGATTTTTTGTTTTTATTTTAGAGCTCCTGCAGTTTTTGAGATATTTAGCTCGAATTTGTTATAGGATATAGAGTATAATTTGAGTAGGAGGGGGTGAGTTTCAATATTTATTATAATGTAATTTAATAATTATTATTTAGGGTTTTTGTATTGTAAAATAAATTCTCATTTGTAGAAGAATTTTTTTGGAAAAACTGTCGAACATATTTTCTAGGATATCTCTGTTAATAATGCACCTACAAGTTTGAAATTTGGTATCGTTAATATCCAGACACAGTATTAAATGAAACCAAACTGGGTTTTTATGGTCCATATACAGGGCGTTTAAAATTATCTAACAAACTTGGCTAACCCCAAGTGGTCATAAGTTTATTATTTCAAATGGATCACAATGTATTTTTTGGCATTAATCAATGGATATTTCGAAGCTCTTTCGATCCATATAAGTATTCCCTAGCTATACATTAATCCAGTCGTTTTTAAAATAATCGAAAAAGTTGCTTAGAATTAAAAGATCTTTACGCAGTTAAAAAAAAAGTATCAACTTATGAGACACCCTGTATATCGAGCGGAGCGTCCGGATTCCCGACGCTCGATGAACTTTGACCTTTGACATTTCATCGGGGTGTTTTCGTTTCGCTCGGAACGCGCGCAAAAGTCTATACAGTGTGTCCCAAAAAGTTGTATACAAACGGGGAAAAAGTTTATCTTACATTTCACAAAAAAAAATTATTCCTGATAAAATTCTCTGGATGACTTGTAGATCCACAATCAGGTATAACATGTTTAAAAAATTGCTTTGAATACAGGGAAAACAAAAAAGAATTTAATTTGTGCATAATTGTGCATAATTTTTTCGTTTTCCCTGTATTTCTACATGCAATATTGTACCTGATTATAGTTCAACAAGTCATGCAGAGAACTTTGTTATGGATAATTTTTGTTGTGAAATGTAAGATAAACTTTTTCCCCATTTGTATACAACTTTTTGGGACACACTGTATACAAGGTGTTGCAAAATGCTAAT